CCGCGTGTACCACTCGCGGATCACCTGAATGGGGGGGAGCTCCTGGGTAGGAGGGGAAGTACCGGGACGAGCTCCAGAAGCACCTCTCGGGAGGCGGCAGTACTCGAGGTACCTCTCCTGCAGCTGCTGGGAGGAGAGGGCTCCTCCAGGTGGAGCACGCTCAGGCTCAGCACCCCCAGACTCAGCACCCCCAGACTCAGCACCCCCAGGCTCCGCACCTCCAGGCTCCGCACCTCCAGGCTCAGCACCCCCAGGCTCCGCACCTCCAGACTCAGCACCCCCAGGCTCCGCACCCTCAGACGCAGTACTCCCAGGCTCAGCACCCCCAGACGCAGGACGCGAGTCAACAGCTACCTCGACAGGCTCACCCGGGTCTACCTGGGACACACCTGAGGGAGCGGCACCCTGAGGGGGGAGGGGGTCTGGTACCTCAGCACCTGGAGCGAGGAAGAGAGGCGGGGGGGGGGAGTGGGGCAGTGCGGTAGGGGAAGAGGCGGTAGAAGGGGACGGACTCGTCAAAAGTGACGTCCTGAGAGGCCAGAACCCGGCGCGAGGTGACGTGGTAAAACTGCCAACCAGGCGCGTCGGGAACAAAGCCAAGAAAGACACAGGGAACAGCGCGACGCGAGAGCTTGTCCGCGGACGTGTCGCGGACAAAAGCTCGAGATCCCCAGACCCGGAAACGCGACGCATCGCCAACCTCTCCCGTCCACCGTAGAGTCGGGGAAGTCTCCGGCAAGGAGACACGGGGCCAGAGGTTGAGCTGATGCGCTGCGTACCGGACCGCAAACGGCCACAGAAAGTGGGGAGCAGCCGCATGGGTCAGGGAGGTACGAGCGACCTCCATGACCAAGCCAATGCGGCGCTCAGCGACCCCATTCTGCTGTGGAGAGGCCGGAAGCGTGAACGACTGCTCAATGCCGTGCTCAGCACAGTAGGCTGCCAAGAGGTCGGAGGCGAACTCACCACCCCTGTCAGAGTGCAAGCGCAGGACAGGAAAGTCCGAGTGAAAGCGCTTGGCTAGCTGGAGACGGGCTCGGCTGATCCAGGGGATCAAAACACCAGGGACGTCACCCTTGGCGCGCAAGGGGAAGACCGTGGTGTAGCGCGAGTAGTCGTCAACAACTATCAGGAAGTACCTCTCCTGACCCTGACCACGGACGCGGGCTGGGCCCCACACGTCCATGTGGAGCGTCTGCAAGGGAGCAGTCGTCGGGGGAAAGGAGGAGGAGTGAGGAGCGGCGCGCTGCCGCCCCTCGACACAGGGAATGCAGTCAGGAGCAGGGGAGTCGGGAAGGGGAGGGAGCACCCTGGGAAGACCAGCAACAAGGTCCCGTTTGTGCATGGCCCGAAGGCGCTGCACAGACGGGTGACCAAGGCGGTGGTGCCAGAGGACAGTCTCATGCGCCAGAGAGCGACATGAGCAGGGGGCGGACAGCTGACCTGACGCAGACGCAGACGCAGCCACCTGAGGGGACTCAGTGGTCAGTGTGTACAGGTCCGACCCCGGCTCCCGAGTGAAAGTAGCCAGGTGGCGGCCCGTCCGAGCACACGTGCAATGTGTCACACGCTCGTAGGCAGGGGTGAACTGGTGAACACCCCCGTCCTGCAGAGCACAGCCCGCCACCAAGTTCGTAGAGAACGAGGGGAGGTAGAGACCTGAGAGCGTGCCGGACGGAACCGCTGGACACGGAAGTGTAGTGGAGGAGGTCGCAATGACCGGACCCCCTGAGGGGTCAGCAAGAGAGACAGCAACTGGCCGAGCGAGTGGCTCAAGGACAGTGCGGTCACGAAAGAAAGAGCGAGAAGCACCTGAGTCCAGTGTGAAGGTGTGCAGTGCTGCAGTCGACTCAGTACCAGGGGGCACAGACGCACTAGCACCTAGGGCAGCAGCCTCACCATCACCTGGGGTAGCAGACACGCGAGCACCTGGAGCGGCAGACGCACTAGCACCTAGAGCAGTAGGCTCACCAGTATCTGGAGTAGCAGACACGCGAGTACCGGGAGTGGTAGCCTCACCTGCTCCGAGGGCAACAGACGTACTGGCACCGAGAGCGGCTGCCTCACTCACAGAGCGACTACCACTACGGCCACCCCGACTGCTCAAACCGGCGTACCACTCACGAGCCTGCTGGAGCAGAAGAGGGCACGGCTGCTGCACCTGTCCACTACCGGAGCCTCCCGAACGACGGACGCCAGAGCGACTACCACTACGGCCACCCCGACTGCTCAAACCGGCGTACCACTCACGAGCCTGCTGGACCAGAAGAGGGCACGGCTGCTGCACCTGTCCACTACCTGAGCCTCCCGAACGACGGACGCCAGAGCGACTACCACTACGGCCACCCCGACTGCTCAAACCGGCGTACCACTCACGAGCCTGCTGGACCAGAAGAGGGCACGGCTGCTGCACCTGTCCACTACCTGAGCCTCCCGAACGACGGACGCCAGAGCGACTACCACTACGGCCACCCCGACTGCTCAAACCGGCGTACCACTCACGAGCCTGCTGGACCAGAAGAGGGCACGGCTGCTGCACCTGTCCACTACCTGAGCCTCCCGAACGACGGACGCCAGAGCGACTACCACTACGGCCACCCCGACTGCTCAAACCGGCGTACCACTCACGAGCCTGCTGGACCGTAGGAGGGCACGGCTGCTGCACCTGTCCACTACCAGGGGCTCCCGAACGACGCACGTCAGAGCGACTACCACTACGGCCACCTCGATAGCCCCAACTGGCGTACCACTCACGAGCCTGCTGGAGCGTGAGGGACTCACGCGCACGGTCCTGTGGCTGCATCTGGCCACGTCAGGAGCAGCAGGAGTAGCGGGAGTGGGAGTAGAAACGGCAGTAGTAGCAGTAGCAGCGGTAGCAGTGCTGGCAGGGCAATGCTCACCAGTGGTCGGCGTGGCAGGCGCAGTAGGAAGCTCCGCGGCAGCTGCTGCAGAGCTAGACCGGGCTACGGCGGCAGTTGCTCCAGGGGCGGCTGCTGCAGGTGCGGGCGGCTCCAGGGGCGGCTGCTGCAGTGGTGGGCGGCTCCAGTGGTTGCTGACGCAGTGGCGGGCGGCTGCAGGGGCTGCTGCTGCAGTGGCGGCGGCTCCAGGGGCTGCTACTGCAGTGGCGGCTGCTCCAGGGGCGAGAGGCGGATTAGGGTTAGGTGGCGACGGCGCGGGCAGGGCGACGCGGCGGGCAGGTGGCGACGCCGCGGGCAGGGCGACGGATTAGGGTTTGGTGGCGACGGCGCGGGCAGGTCGACGCGGCGGGCAGGTGGCGACGCCGCGGGCAGGTCGACGCGGCGAGGAGGTGGCGACGCCGCGTGCATGTGGCGCGGGCAGGCGACGACTCCGCGGGCAGGTGGCGACGCCGCGACGACGCCGCGGGCAGGCGACGTCTCCGCGGGCAGGCGACGGCGCCGCGGGCAGGGATCGACGTCGCGGGCAGGCGGCTTCGACGCGGGCAGGCGACGACGCCGCGGAGAGGCGGCGACGCTGCGGGCAGAGCGACGCGGCGGCCGGCTAGGGCCTGCAGGGGCGGCGCGCGTGGCCTGACGGGTCTGCAGGGGCGGCTCTCGGGCCTGACGGGCCTGTAGCGGCGGCTCGGGGGCCTGACGGGCCTGCAGCGGCGACTCGGGTGCCTGACGTGCCTGTAGCGGCGGCTCAGGTGCCTGACAGGCCTGCAGCGACGGCTCGGTGGCCTGACGGACCTGCAGGGGCAGCTCGAGGGCGCACGAGGGCGCACGAGGGCGCACGAAGGCGCACAAGGAGAGAAAGGCGCACGAGGGCGCACGTAGGGTAGGGCGCACGAGGGCGCACGTAGGGTAGGGCGCACGAGAGCGCGTAGGCGCAAGAGGCGCACGGTAGGTAGGTAGGTAGGTAGCGGTGGGCCCTAAGAGCGGTCCTAGCGATGGACCTGCTCTGATACCATGTCAGAATAACTGAGCAGGAATGGGATGAACTAGCACAGAGTTTGGTACAAGTAGGAAACCCTAACTTTGAGTACCCCCTAAGGTGTAACCCACTACAGCCTACATAATATAAACATGCAATGTTTGACAGAATTTCTGTGTCAGGGCGAATCTTGTGGTGTGAAAGGGCGAATCTGCAATGTCAGGTGGAAGTTCTTGGTGATTGGTCGAAATCATTGTGCTCTGACAGCGCAAATCTGTTATGTCAGGGCGATTGGGCGAAAATCTTGTGCTGTGAGGCGCGGATTTGCAGTTTCAAGCCGATTTTGCATTGACCTGTAAAGTCCGAACCGAATCACCAGTCAAGAACACAAGCAGATAACAGAATCGGTACGCGTTTGTACTCGGAGTGATCAGAGTACACTCCTGGAAAACTCTGAAACGTCAGAGTTAGCTCTAAAATTTCTCTGAAAATTACAGAGTTGGGGCCCAGAAATATCTGATTTTAACAGACCTCACTTGAAAAAAAAAAATCTGAATTCTCAGAGTTTTTCATGCAAATCAGAGAAATTTCTCTGACTTCTGGGGGCCTGTATCTCGTACACGGGCAAAAATGCTTGAGTTATCTTGTAAACGGGATGGTTTAGGGTGTCTTATAAGTCTTATAAATAGGAAAAAAAATAAGTTGAATGTAACACTTGCAAAGTGTGTAGAAACCACCCAGGGACCAGATTCATTGAAACAGGCCGACCTCGGTGGTGATGCATGCAGCCCCCACACTTGCCACGTGAGGGATGCAGCAAAGCTGCCACCGGTGGCAAGATTCCTCTGTGCTGGCAGCATCATTAGATGCTGCCAGCGTCGTTTTGCTGCCAGCAGCGCATGGCAGCTTCCAGAACGTTGCTGGCAGCACGTTGGCAGCGCGAGGGCTGTCCTCTACGAGGAGATGCCTCGTAGAGGAGCGGCTCGGCTCCTGTGGATGGGGCACTCTGGCCGGGGGGTGGGGGGGGGGTAAATCGGCCTTTCACTTCATTTTGTGCTCATGGAGGTTGAATACTCCTCTAAACCTTGTTCTCGGCAGGCTTAGGAACCATGCGCAGCAAAGTACCAGTAGGCAAGTCCTCACATCGTCCTCACGTGCAGGTGAATAACTACGGGCGAATTAACTCACCCGGCGATGATATCCGTGTAGCCATGGCGAAGAACGCGAGCAAGGCGGGAAGTCCTACCGCCGCCTCCGGTGCGAGCTGTGACGGGGACGACGGAGACGAAGCACACGGCGACGACGCGGAGGAGGATTGGCCGGAGAACGGCCACGACGACAGCGCTTCGGGCAACGAATTGGGTCCTGCCGACATCGAGGAGGATGAATGGTGGAATCAGCCGGTCGGGAGCGACGACGAGGTGGAAGAGTGGCGGGCTGGGGATTCCGACAATGACGGAGGTGAAGATGCTGACGGTGACAACGCGGAGGCACAGGAAGCGGCGGTGGATGCGAATGAGTCTGCCGACGAGGCGGAGGCGGAACTGGAGCCAGTTGCGCCTGCGGATGCGGACGCGGTGGCGAAGGCGGACAAGGTTGCGGAGGATGCCGTCTTATTTGATGGTGAAGGCTCTGACGACGACCCGTGGAGCCTTGGGACAGACGACGACGTTCCGCTACTGAAGCGGAGGCTGCGCCATCGCCTACAGTCCACGTCGAAGCGCGCCCGCGTGGTCCTCTCCGACGACGACAGTTCCGGGGAGGAGCGTCGCCCCCTACTCACCGCTGCGGAGAAGGGAAAGGCAAAGGTCGTAGAAGCCCCTGCTAAGTCCCCTGCTAAGGCCCCTGCTAAAGCCCCTGCTCGTCACCGCACAAGCAACAAGAAGCGCAAGGACGACGGAGACCCTGGATCCAGCAAGGGTGCGGCTAAGAAAAAGGCGAAGAGGGCGCCGAATCCTGACGACATCATCGTGAACGAGGCGTTGGGCAGCAACGACGAGTACGCGGCGGCGGCGGGCTCGATTCCCACGTTCCCAGAGAAGGTCACGCCGAAGGACCGCACCCTCCATAATCCCAACACCCGCCCACCTTCCCCTCGCATCAAAGACACTACGAAGAAGCGGCGCGGATGGACCGTGTGTGAGAAGCTTAAGTGGGCGCGCCGCTATCAGGAGCTCGGCTCCTTGAAGAAGACGAGCTTGGAGTCAACCGCGAGCGTCGCCTGCATCAGACGCTGGAGTGCGGAGGCGGCTACGGGCTTCTACAAGGGCGCGGCTAACTGCCGCAAGCGGATGCACGGGGGGGGGGGACGCCAAGCACACTACCCCGACATGGAGGCAGCGTTGTACCGCTACATCTGCCTTCAGCGCGCTAACGGTGTGGCCATTTCGGTGAAGGACACCCAGAAGTGGAGCCGCGAGTGGATGAAGAAACATCACCCCGGCAAGAACTGGAACGCGAGCTCCCACTGGAGCCAGCGTTTCCGTGACCGCTGGAACCTGGTGATGCGGGTGAAGACGAAGGTCGGACAACGTCTGTCGGCAGGTGCGTGAAAATGGAAACCGTGTTGCGCTCGGCCTATTGTATGCATGTCGTACAACGGCAGTGTCTAACCATCCCGTGCTTCTGTTACTCCTGTCCCGTTTGCAGAGTGCGCGGAGGACTGCGAGTCCTTCTGGAAGTTCGTGCGCATCAACAGGGCGCGCCACAACATCGACCTGGCCCGCATCATCAACGCGGACCAGACCACTGTTCGTGGAGATGCCGGCCGAGAGGACGATCGAGCACTGTGGCCGCTCTCGGTTCCAATCCGCACCGCAGGCTACCAGAAGACGCGCTTGACGGTGATGCTCGCGTGCACTGCATCCGGGGAGAAGCTGCGGCTGTGGGTGTGGTTCAAGATGAAGAATGTCCCCAACTGTGAGATTCCGGACGGTAAGCGCCATAGATGCAACCGTGCAAGGGCCTCATGAGCGTGCCACACTGTGTTGATGCCCGTCTGTCCCTTGTGTGCCAGGCAGGAATCGTGGTCCAAGCACAGGACAACGGGTGGATGGACGAGAGCGCCGTGCAAACCTAGCTGTCCAAGGAGGTGCTGCCCCATCTGAACCCCCAGCGCGGCAAGAGCGCGAGGCGTGCGATGCTGGTGTTGGACTCCTACCGCGGCCACATCACCCAGACCATGCTTCAGTCGTACCGCACGCACAGCATCACCCCTGCAGTCATCCCAGCGGGTTGTACGAGCCAGATTCAACCCCTGGACGTCTCCATCAACCGGTGCTTCAAGGCTGCCGTGCGAGCGCGCTACGCCAGGTGGTTCATGCGTGAAGGGATTCATCTGAAGACGAAGAAGGGTGAGTTGGTCCTTTGTTTTAAAATCCTGCTCTGTTTCGTGTCCTTATCTTTAACATGTCGCCCCATGTCAGTGTCTCTAACAGCTCGCTGCCACGTCCTCTGTCCCACCCGCAGGGAACCTGCGGAGGCCTCCGCACCCCGTGGTGCTGCAGTGGATCGCGAAGGCTCCACCAAGCATATCATCATCGACGCGTTCCGCCACTGTGGGATCTCCAGCAAGCTGGACGGAACGGAGAACCACCTGGTGATGAACCACCTGGTGATGTCTCACCTGCGCGCCAGGAGCACCACCGATGTCTCCGAGGACATGTCCCTCGGGGGGACCACAGGCGACAACACGCGCCTGCTCGGGAAGGCTCCAGAGGAGGAGGAGGAGGATGAGGAGGAGGAGGCGATGCAGGCGGAGGGCGTGCGGGAGGTGGCCGTGGCAACTGGCCTGGAGGTGCTGTACCAGGAGACCCCCAACTACCGCGGAGCGGCGGCCGAGGCTGACCGCATGATCGAGCCTAGGGAGACGGCTAGGCATGCCTGGCGAGTGCCAGACCTGAGTGTAGAGACTGTTGCTAGTGCTCCAGAGGAGGCGGTGACCGAGGGGGGTTAGGAAGAAGTAGATATTCATGCATGTATGGATGTACCCCCCTAAAGTAAGGAAGGTTCGTTTAGAAGGCACCCCCTCTTTATAAGAAAAACCCTAAACCCAGGTTCTGATTATAAGACATATATGTCTTATCTCGTACACACAAATAGGTGTCGTATAAAAAGGCTAGCCTGTTTATAAGAGACACCCGTATAGTAGACAACCCCTGTCTACTATTCAACACTGTCTTATATCCGGGCGATGACGGTAGTCATACAATTTATTTAAAAGGTTATAGCTAATCTATTGAACCACAAGCATCAAATGCTGCGCGATCTACAAATCACTTGCACTCGTGTCGAAAGATATGCTCCGCACCTCAATTATCACGCCTCCATAGGAGCAGGACCCTCAGACCCCTCCCCGGTACCACCCTGCTCTCCTTCCCCCCCCTCTGCCTTCTCCTCCTCCACATCCTCCACCTCTACCTGCTCCACCACCTCTACTTCCTCCTTCGCCGCCCCTCCCTGCCCACCCTCCTCATTCTCCATCCTATCTATATGCTCCTGCACCTGCGCATCCGTCAGAATGCTAAACGCTTGCCCCTCCCCCACAATAGAGACACTGCAGTTGGCTCCACTCAGCTCCCCCTCCTGTAGCGACTCCTTCACAGCAAGCAGCGCGTGTCGCACCAACTCGTACAGCGAACACGCCCCGAACGACTCATACTTGCGCTCCAGGTACGTCTTGGCGGCCTGCGAACGCGCCCCGATTGCCATAGCGTGGAATTCCCAGAAGTTGCCCGACGGGCAGGTCTGAAAGATGTGCGGGCCGGTTTGGTCGAAGCCGGCCACCAGCAGCCCCACGCCATACGGGCGGCGCCACGAGCGCTGCGTGCACACCTGAGATTTGTCTGCTACCATGGAGACAAGGCGGCCCACCGGGAGAGGCGACTCGAAGACAAACCTGGGAGGGGATGGGAGATGTGGGGAGGGTAGTGGATGGCAGGGCAGATGTGGACATGGGGATAGAGAGTCAAGGGGAAGAAAGTGGGTGGGGAAGAAAGTGGGAGGGAGAGAAGGGTGGTGGGAGACGGGGCAAAAGATAATTGAGAAGAGAGAGTAGTGGTTTTACCACTGATATCGGAACTGAAGCCTGGCAGTGGAAGGGCCTGTGGAACAACCCTGGGGGGAGACGGAGAGGTACATGAAGATCGGAGACCGTAGAAAAGGGTAAGTGGAGGGATGACAGCAGATTGAAGGAAGGATGTCTGTAAGGGCGATGAGAGAAAGGTGAGGAGCAGTCCTCTGTGAAACACACACCCATGCCCATGTAACCGGCTACGTGTGGGAGATGTTGCGCTGGAGTGGACGGTGTGTGGAGTGGACGGTGTGTGGAGTGGACGGTGTGTGGAGTGGACGGTGTGTGGAGTGGACGGTGTGTGGAGTGGACGGAGTGTGGAGTGGACGGTGTGTGGAGTGGACGGTGTGTGGAGTGGACGGTGTGTGGAGTGGACGGTGTGTGGAGTGGACGGTGTGTGGAGTGGACGGTGTGTGGAGTGGACGGTGTGTGGAGTGGACGGTGTGTGGAGTGGACGGTGTGTGGAGCACACCCATTCGTACGTAAGGGATTCAAGCACGGAACACTCACTTGTGAGACAGACACTCGGAGCGCATGAAGCGGCAGAGCACGCGGCCGTCAGCATTGAGCCCCGCAATGGCGATGCCCATGTGGTCGTCCACGCGGAATATCTTGCGCTGGTACGACGCCAGGGGGGACGCCGCTCGCTTGAGCGTGGCCAGCACCGCGTGCGTGCTGCTGCGCAGCCCCACCGCCGCACTGCCCTGCTTCACTGCCTCCATTGCGTACTCCACCTGATGGGATGGGGGAGAGTTCTGAGACGTCTCAAAACACTTCTTTTTACACAAAACACTTCTTTTTGAGACGTCTCAAAACGCACTGCCCTGCTTCACTGCCTCCATTGCATAGTCCATCTGATGGGATGGGGGCGAGGGCAGGGGAGTGAGGGGGGGCAAGAAGCGGAGAAGGGAGGTTAGGGAGTGATGCTGGCATGCATCGCTGCGCAGGCCAACTGCCCCACTGCCCTGCTTCACCGCCCCCATTGCATAGTCCACCTGGTGGGGAGGAGGGGGGGAGACAGAGGGGGGGAGACAGAGGGGGGGAGACAGAGGGGGGGAGACAGAGGGGGGGAGACAGAGGGGGGGAGACAGAGGGGGGGAGACAGAGGGGGGGAGACAGAGGGGGGGAGACAGAGGGGGGGAGAGGGCATGAGGAAGGATAGCAGCGAGGCACACCTGTCTTGCCTGTGCCGCACTGCCCTGCTGCACTGCCTCCATGGCATACTCCACCTGGTGCCATGTGCGGGGAGCGTGGGGGAGAGAAGAGCACAGCACGGGAGCGAGCAGGGAGGCACGGCAAGGGAAGGAGTGGAGTGGGAGAGAGGGGGGAGCAGAGCACTGCGTGGTTGGCCCTGCGCACACTGCTCTGCGCACACTGCCCTGCGCACACTGCCCTGCGCACACTGCTCTGCGCACACTGCCCTGCGCACACTGCCCTGCGCACACTGCCCTGCGCACACGACCTGCTGGTGGGGGGAGAGGGAGGGGTTGTGGGGGGTGTAACGGGTGTGGGGGGTTGTAACGGGTGTGGGGGGTGTGTGTAACGGGTGTGAAGGGGAGGAGGAGTGGAAAAGGGAGGTTAGGCAGCAGTGCAAGCATGTCGCCCAAGCAGCCCGTCAGCTGCGCCGCCCCCGTCGCCTTAATCCGCCTTGGCATGGCAGCTGGATTGGGGTTGGGGCGACGCTTGGGGCAGAGGGAGGAAGGGCGCGTTGGAGACCAGACCAGTGCACGGCGTGCATGGCGTATCCCCTCTCACATGCGCACGAGCGAGGCTGTGGGGGGGGACAGGCGGGAGGGCAGGGAGAGGCTGTGGGGCGGGAGAGGGGCGTGTGAGAGAGCAGTGAGAGAAGGGCCTCTGTGGCGTGTCCGCGTGAGTGCGAAAGGGGTGAGACGCTAGGGGACGGGTTTTGAGGCTCCTCAATAGACGCTAGGGGACGGGTTTTGAGGCGCCTCAATGGACGCTAGGGGACGGGTTTTGAGGCGCCTCAATGGACGCTAGGGGACGGGTTTTGAGGCGCCTCAATAGACGCTAGGGACGGGTTTTGAGGCGCCTCAATAGACGCTAGGGGACGGGTTTTGAGGCGCCTCAATAGACGCTAGGGGACGGGTTTTGAGGCGCCTCAATAGACGCTAGGGGACGGGTTTTGAGGCGCCTCAATAGACGCTAGGGGACGGGTTTTGAGGCGCCTCAATAGACGCTAGGGGACGGGTTTTGAGGCGCCTCAATAGACGCTAGGGGACGGGTTGGAATGGGACGACGTGGGGGTTGGGCGAGGGAAGAGGGAGGACGAAGCGAGAAGGTTGACCAGCGGAAAGAAGCGAGAAGGTTGACAAGCGGAAAGAAGCGAGAAGGTTGACAAGCGGAAAGGAGGAGAGAAGCGCGGGTGCCGGGGTAAAGGGACGCGGGGGGGCAGCAAAGGGGGTAAAGGGACGCAAAGGGAGGAGGCGATGGAAAGGGCAGGTGAGGCGAGGCAGGGAAACAACAGCGGGAGGGCAGCACGCGCGGTGTGGGGAAACAACAGCGGGAGGGCAGCACGCGCGGTGGGGAAACAACAGCGGGAGGGCAGCACGCGCGGTGGGGAAACAACAGCGGGAGGGCAGCACGCGCGGTGGGGAAACAACAGCGGGGGCTCGACGGGACGGGAACGGGCAGCCCGCGGGAGGGAGATTGAAGAAGGGGAGGGAGGGAAAGGTCGGGAAGGGAGCGAGAGGTCGGGAAGAGGGAAGGGAGGGGAGGCAAAAGAAGGGGAGGGAAGGGGAGGGGAGGAGAAGGGAGGGCGCGGTGGGTAAAGAGCAGCGTGGGGGCAGCAGCGCGCTGCTCGCTTGGCACCAAGGGGAGACGATGGCCTGCGCGAGGGAGAGCAGAGCAAGGGGGTTTCGTGGGATCCGAATTTGGTCGCGGAATTCGAGCGATGATTTATTTTAGGGTGGCACAGCCGTCACACAGCCGTCGCACAGCCTTCGCACTGCCATCAGACTGTAGAATTGACCTGCCGAGGCGATTCGCGAGAGGACTTCGTGCCGTGGAGGCTTAGCAGTCTAACCGGCTGGCAGCCTCGCAGAGCGGTGAAACGTGATAGCAGCAGAGAGGCGGTTCGGCGCGGCGAGAGGCGGATCGGCGGGGCGAGAGGCGGAGAGAGGGGCGGATCACCTGGTGCAGGCGGCCGACGGGGCTCCACGTGGTGACATCCGTGTCGTACTGATTGCGAAACATGGTGGCGACGATACGGCGACGCGCGTGACAGCAAAGCCGAGGCGAGAGAAGAGGGAAATATCGAGGCTAGAAGGGGAGACACAAGCACAAGCGAGAAAGAATGTTCCACTAACGACCACGTCTTGATGCACTACACGAGGTAATTTGAGAAAGAGGATTTTCCGCACCAGAATTTGAAGATCCGAGATTCGTGCAGTTAGGACGCGTTACAATTGAAACATTACATGTAGGGGCTCGATGTGCGGCCGTACAGTAATTCGTCATGTCTTGTATCCCTGTTTCGTTGAATCTCGCTAATAATCGAGAAACGTCACCGAGGGCGAGATATCTTCCAAAAAATTCTGTCACCGCACTCAAATCAAGCAATTGCAATCCCGCAAACTAGCGAAACCTGAGGACGATCGCGACACGTGGCTCGGAGGAGATCGATGTCTCAACCTCGGTGAGTGACCTCGAACCTCCTCCGATGTGTTAGTTGTTACGCGTCCTAAAGCGAGGGCAGCGAGGAAGGAGCATGGGAAACCTCGATAAGAAGCTGTGCCACGAAGCCAAAAGATATCATAGATTTATTCACGTAGAAATACTTGCTTCAGCAGCTATTGTGAAATTTCATTTCCATAAAGAGAAACTAGCAGTATTTTCATTGTCAAATTGTGGAGGTCCATGGAAATTTTTTCAGTATTTTGTTTGTGTTAAATTCAATCCAGTTATGATATATCTTGAAATCACTCGAGGATCGATTTGGAGAGGACAAGGTGTTAGGTAGGAGCACTCGATAGGAATGTGCTGATGATGGCATAGCAGCTGTACCGGTGATCATGCTGCTATGATCAGTCCATAATAGCATCATGATGGCAGAGAGTCCATGCCATGATGGCACCAGTCACCAACGAACTTGGACGAGCATGTGCAGTGCAAGGTTCAGCGAGCCGATGAGCCTGAAAAAGCCGGAGAGCGGCCCAAGGTTGTGGAGATGTGGCACAAACAACAGTAGCAAACTACAACTACCTAATACCGTATTCATTTTCTATTTATGTATATTGCATTCTAATCTCAGCAGCTACACTACACAGCATTAGGCTCGCAAAATCTGTATCATCACTTGGGTATTTGTGGCTCCACGACCCCCCCCACATGCTCCGGTGCTATCTGCACCTCTGCATCGCCTCATTGGCCAAGGGCAGGCGGAGCAGGGCAGAGAGGGGAGGGGTTGACCAGGGTAGGGAGGACATCAGGAGGAGCAGGCAGGGGAGTGGGGGACAAGGGGAGGGGCGAAAAGGTGGAGGATGAGGTTGAGAGGGAAGAGGTGAGGCCGTGGTATATTAGTGGTTGTGGGATTGTTTTGAAACACAAGTGAAGTGAAGTGAGGATGTGTGCAAAGAGAGATGGTGGGTGCGGCACACACAATGAAACAGCACGCAAGGGTGCACAACCCCATCATCCCCACCTATTCCCAAAGATTGGCCTCCCGCAACCCCCTCTCCCTGCCCCATGTCCCCCCTGCCCACAGGCAGACAAAATAGCACATGCGAGGGCAGATGCGAGGGCAGACAAGAGGGCATGCACGGACAGAATCCCCTTGCTTCATCCCGCCTCTCCGCCCACTCCCCGTGCCGCGGTCCTCTCCAAACCAAACCTCCCCCCCCCACAACCAACCCTCCCTGACCTGCCAGTGTGGCAGATGTGGTGGGTGGGCCCAGCACAGGCAGAAGAGTATTTTCGAGAATTCTCGGCGATGTAGAGTATTTTTGAGAATTTTCAAAAATACTCTAAATTGGCAGAGTGGCAGATGTGGTGGGTGGGCCCAGCACAGGCAAAAGCCCAAGGCCAGTCGGGGCCCCCCTCCAATCCCGCCAACAAGCCCAAGGCCAGTCAGAACCCCGCCACCAATCCCCCTCATCTCTATCAGCCTTTTTCTCCCCATTGACACCTCCCTCTCTTCCTCTCAGCCACCCACCCCTTCCTTCCCTTATCCCCCATCCCCCTGCTCCACATCTGCCCACGTCGTTCTCTCTTCCCCCACACCAAACCTCCGCCTCCTCCTACCCGCACACCAGACCCCTCCTCCCTCCACCCCTGCCCCATTCCCGCGATCCCAACTCCCCTGCTTGCTTAACTTTACCCTCTGATCGCAATCCCCTCTGATCGCAATCCCCTCTGATCGCAATCCCCTCTGATCGCAATCCCCTCTGATTGCAATCCCCTCTGATCGCAATCCCCTCTGATCGCAATCCCCTCTGATCGCAATCCCCTCTGATCGCAATCCCCTCTGATCGCAATCCCCTCTGATCGCAATCCCCTCTGATCGCAATCCCCTCTGATTGCAATCCCCTCTGATCGCAATCCCCTCTGATCGCAATCCCCTCTGATCGCAATCCCCTCTGATCGCAATCCCCTCTGATCGCAATCCCCTCTGATCGCAATCCCCTCTGATCGCAATCCCCTCTGATTGCAATCCCCTCTGATCGCAATCCCCTCTGATCGCAATCCCCTCCGCATCATCACCAGCATGCCCACCTCAACCTGTTTCCGCACTCCCCCTCATCCGCCACTCTCATTACCCCCTTAAAGCCCCTCCATCCCTCGCAACCCATCCATCCCTCTCAACCCATCCATCCCTCTCAACCCATCCATCCCTCTCAACCCATCCATCCCTCTCAACCCATCCATCCCTCTCAACCCATCCATCCCTCTCAACCCATCCATCCCTCTCAACCCATCCATCCCTCTCAACCCATCCATCCCTCTCAACCCATCCATCCCTCTCAACCCATCCATCCCTCTCAACCCATCCATCCCTCTCAACCCATCCATCCCTCTCAACCCATCCATCCCTCTCAACCCATCCATCCCTCTCAACCCATCCATCCCTCTCAACCCATCCATCCCTCTCAACCCATCCATCCCTCTCAACCCATCCATCCCTCTCAACCCATCCATCCCTCTCAACCCATCCATCCCTCTCAACCCATCCATCCCTCTCAACCCATCCATCCCTCTCAACCCATCCATCCCTCTCAACCCATCCATCCCTCTCAACCCATCCATCCCTCTCAACCCATCCATCCCTCTCAACCCATCCATCCCTCTCAACCCATCCATCCCTCTCAACCCATCCATCCCTCTCAACCCATCCATCCCTCTCAACCCATCCATCCCTCTCAACCCATCCATCCCTCTCAACCCATCCATCCCTCTCAACCCATCCATCCCTCTCAACCCATCCATCCCTCTCAACCCATCCATCCCCTCAACCCATCCATCCCCCTCAACCCATCCATCCCCCAACCCATCCATCCCTCTCCCTCACCATCCATCCCCCTCAACCCATCCATCCCTCTCCCTCACCATCCATCCCCCTCAACCCATCCATCCCTCTCCCTCACCATCCATCCCCCTCAACCCATCCATCCCTCTCCCTCACCATCCATCCCTCTCAACCCATCCATCCCTCTCAACCCATCCATCCCTCTCAACCCATCCATCCCCCGCAACCTGTCTGCCATTGCGATTGCTATCGTGCTGCTCCGCCCGTCACTCCCTCGCCCCTTCTGCACCTACTTCCTCCCCTTTCCCCCTTCCTTAACCTACAGCCATCTCTTCACCCTCCCCTCCCCCTTCCCCTCCCCCTCCCCCTCCCCCTCCCCCTCCCCCTCCCCCTCCCCCTCCCCCTCCCCCTCCCCCTCCCTCTTTCCCGCTCACCGCTTTTCCCCCTCAACCGCCCAGTAGAGTGATAACCACCCCTTTCCTCCTGGAACTCCTATCGCTCCCCAAACCGCTCACCCCTCGCTTCCCGCATCAATTCCCCCATCGCTTCCCCCATTTACTCCATCTCTCCACCCTTCGGTCCCCCCGTCATCCCCCCCATCGTTTCCCCCATCGTTCCCCCCATCGCTCCCCCCATCCCTCCCCCCATCGCGCCTGCACCACCATAGTGCGGAGCATCTCCGCCGCGTCAACCGCCCTTCCCCTGGATTGCCCTCCCCCCCCCGCCCAGCACCGTGACATCCACGCCTTCCCCCAGGACCCCTCATTGCTCCCCCCATCATTCCCCCAATGACTCACCGTAGTTCCCCCGCTCATTGAGCCGCGCCTGCACCACCATCGTGCGGAGCATCTCCGCGGCGTCCCGCGCGTCCCTCTCCAGCTCCGCCAGCCGCCGCTCGTCCGCCTCCCCGCGGTTCCCCTCGAAGTGCCCGCGCACCTCCGCGCGCCCCGCGGACTGCGCGTGCTGATCCCCCGGAAAGGATTTGCGGATCGCGCGGAGCAACGTGCGGTAGGCGCTGAGGGCGGAAGGGCGCGCGGAAGTGGCGGAAGCGGAGGCGATGGCGGAAGCGGCTGCAGCTGCAGCAGGCTGGATCATGGCGAAGGAGCTACTTGTGCTGTGCGAGTGGTTCTGACTGACAGCGAGTGGTTCTGACTGACAGCGACTGACAGATTCGTGTGAATGAGGAATGGCGAAATGGGGCTGAAGATGAGGGGTGGAGTTGGCGGGAACGGAGGCGATGCGTGTCTGTTCTTGTAAGGCGGGACGAGCCCAAGCTAAACCCGTGCCACGCACACAACCTTCTGCGCTTCGTTATTGTACAGAGCACTAGAACAAATAGTCCAGTGCTAAAATGTTAATTACCTTGTCTTCCGAACAAAATTCCAAAATCAACTTAAAACTCTTTTACAACTCTTTCAAGCTAAATCATGTGTGTTGTCCAAATTACAGACTCCAATAACTCTGCAATTCTGTTTTACATAGCAGATACACGATATGCCATATAATACAAACTTTAAACAGGTGTAACTAGAGGTGCTTGCTTGATTCAGCAAAAAGCGACTCTACCGAAGCAGCAGCAGAAGCTGCAGCAGTGTGAGATAAGACTGGCACCAGCGAGAGTCATGAGAGACAAGAAGAGGAAGTAAAGCAGCCACGGCATTGGCGTGCGACAGAGTCACTCTACTGCAGCAGCAGCGTGTGGGATGAGAAGACTAGCACCGGTGAGAGTCATGAGAGGCAGGAAGAGGAAGTAAAGCAGCCGCAGCTGTTCCGTGCGACTGAGAATGTCACTACTACCTAACTTGTAAGGTGCCATAAAGCAGCGAGAGGAGTATGTAGCAGCAGCAGTTGTAGCAGTAGCGTATATGAGGCGACCTAGAATATCACTGCTGCAATGCAACTGATGATGCTATGGTGGTAATTATCAACAGGACTAGGCAAGAATGATGCATTGAATGAAACAGTTGGGTACAAGTAGCAAACCCTAGTTGGGGTTGTACCCCATATTGGCTACCCCACTACAGCCTACCAACATATAACACATTACAATTTAACACACCCCCATAGGCAAAGTGGGGGAGAACAAAGGGTCACAAGACCAGTCCAGCAAAGCAACGCAAGCCCAGGGTGGATCACAACGTCACCACACTCCGAGCACAAGCAAAGGCCACAAGGCCAGTTCACATGCAGTGCTAGATATAGTACAAGACAAGCAACACAGTGATCAAAACCTAGCAAGCAAGCAACAAGATATATATAAAGTACAGTACAAAGAAAGTCAAGCAGTAAGCAAATGAGGGAATGTGGACACAAGGCCTAAAGAAGTACAGTGTCGCTGATGATCACTAGGCGGGAGCGCCTTGGTGAAGATATCAGCAGTGTTGGCCTTCGAGTCCACGTACACAAGCCGAAGCTGACCGCGCTGCTGAAGCTCTCGAGCAAGAAAGTAGCGAAGAGCAATGTGCTTCGTCCTGTGCTCCAGTCTGTGCTCCTGACACAAGGCAAGGGCCGCCTTGTTGTCACCGTACAGAACTGGAGGAGAACTAGGCCGCTCTCCCAAGTCAGTCAGCAGGTAGGTGAGCCAGCGTAACTCCTGTGCAGCCATGGCTGTGGCGTAGATCTCAGCCTCACAACTAGAGCCGAGAACAGAAGAAGAGCGGGTGGACCGCCACGAGACAGAACCAGAGCCAAGGCTGAAGGTGTAACCCTGTGACGACCGCTGCGTAGCCAGGTCGTCCACCCAAGAAGCGTCCGAGTGACCAGTGAGGACAACTCTGTCGCGTCCTCCAAGCACCAGCCCCATGCCTGACGTACTGCACAAGTAACGCAGCACCCTCTTAGTAGCCTCCCAGTGCTCTCGCCTGTGTCTCCCAGGCGCAACGTAACGAGCAAGGATGCTAAGAGGGTACGCGAGGTCAGGTCGCGTGCAAGTCATCAGGTACATGAGGCAGCCTACAAGCTCTGGGTACGGGCCACTCGGCTCTACGGACTCGTCCGAAGGTGGAGCTGAGAGCGAGTGGCTGGTAGCCAGAGGTGTGGCCTGTGGTGAGGAGAACTGGAAGCCGAAGCGCTGAAGGACCTGCTGCACCATGTGTGACTGAGTCAGGGTGATGGTGCGGCGAGCTCTGTCCCGGGTGATCTGCAAGCCAAGGTAGCTACGCAGTTCACCCAGGTCAGTGCAGGTGTGTCTCTTCTGCAGCTCCGACTTCACACGAGCGAGTGCCTCAGTGTCAGCAGTAGCAAAGACCAAGTCGTCGACGTACACGAGGATGTAGAACGGCGGCAGCGACGTGTCTGTGCGCAGGAACAGTGACGGGTCAGCAGTGGAAGGAGCAAACCCAAGGGCCGCAAGTGTAGTCCTCAGTGTGTCGTGCCACTCGCGTGGCGCCTGGCGGAGACCGTAGACTGGCCGCCGGAGGCTCCACTGGGTACCAGGAGGAAACGACCCAGTAAAGCCAGGTGGGCGGCGCAGCCAGATCTCCTCGTGCAGGCTGCCCTGCAAGAACGCTGTGCTGAAGTCAAGAGAGTGAAGCTCGTAGTCACGCTGAGCAGCAACGTGCAGTAGAACCCGAAGAGTGGTCATCTTCGGGGTGGGGGAGAAGGTCTGGAAGAAGTCAACCCCCTGACGCTGACTGAAGCCTCTAGCAACGTAACGAGCCTTGAAGACAGGCGGAGAACCTGGCGGCCGCTTCACCCTGAAAATCCACATGCCATCGACGATGTTCGCCCCAGGAGGGGGAACCTCGTCGACGTAGGTGCCAGTGGACTTCCAGGATGCCATCTCTGCGTCCATGGCTGTCTGCCACTGAGAGGAGTAGGGACCCGAGATCGCCTCTGCGTAAGTGCGCGGAGTGGGGATGTCTAGTGCATCCGGGTCTCCCTCAGGGGCAAGCAACCAGGCCACGAGATGAGGTACAGCAGCCGCAAGAGAGTCAAAGTCCTCCTGCCTGTCCTCAAGGACGTCCGTGCCAAGAGCACACTCACCCCCGACGGACGGAGGACAGACAGACTCAGACCCAGCAACAAGACTGGCGGCGTAGTCGAGGCGACAGGCAGCAGCAAAGTCGACAAGCTCAGCGACCAGGGCAGACGCAGCAGAAGACTCAAACGACGGGTCAGTGACAACAGTGGCGAGAAGACGCGTGACAGTAGGGTGGGCAGCACGAACACTGTCAGACTCAGGGTCGGGAACGTCAGGAAGAGAAGACGCAGGTGGAGACGGTAGGGGGACACGCTGTGGACCAGTGGAAGGACGAAGTGCCATAATGTGCGTGCCAGGAACAGGAGGAGGACGCGGACGCTTGACACGACGGCCAGTGGGACCAGTGCGAGCAGTGCGAGCAGCGCGAACAGGCGAGGCAGGACGAGACGTAGGCTTATGACGCTCCGTAAGCGAGTCCGGTTGTGCAGTGTAAGGCACAGGAGTAGGGAGGGGGGAGCCAGGCTGGAGGGGAAGGCCAGTGGAAGACGGGAGGGAAAGAACCTGGCGAAGCACCGTGTCAGGCGGCGGCAAAGCCGACGGCGACGGAGGGGCAAAGAACAAGCGCGACGGCGGAGCTCCGCCAGCACCTCCAGCACCCGCAGCACCAGAAGCACCAGGACCAGCACCCTCCGCCGCAGCACCCCCCGAGTCGGCGACGTCAGCACCAGAGGCCCCAGCAGCGTCAGACCTCCCCTCGCCAGCACCTCCAGAACCAGCAGGACCACCGTGTCCAGAACCGTCAGCTCCAGTGTCGTCAGCTCCAGCAGCTCCAGTACCGCCAGGAAGAGCACCCCCAGAGCCGGCAGCTCCAACTCCGCTAGCACCGCCAGCTCCAGAGTCCCCAGCTCCAGCAGCTCCAGTCTCAGTGCTCCCAGAACAACCAGTCCCGGCAGCTCCAGTACCCCAAACTCCAGCAGAGCCACGAGAACGGCGAAAGCGCCGGACGTACCAGTCACGAAGCTGCTGCGGTGTGAGAGACTGCTCAGCACCCCGAACCGGAGCACCCCCAGACGCAGCAACCCCAGGCTCCGTAGGCTCAGGAGTATCACCCCCAGGCTCAGTACCCTCAGGCGCAGCACCCCCAGGCTCAGTAACCCCAGACTCCGTACACGCAGGCTCAGCACCCCCAGTCGCAGCACCCCCAGGCTCAGCACCCCCAGGCGCCGAACTCTCAGGCACAGTACCCTCAGCTCCAGTACCCGCAGTCCCAGCACCCGCAGCCCCAGCACTCCCAGGCCCAGCACCCGCAGGCTCAGCACCCCCAGGCTCAGCACTCCCAGCAGCACCACCTGCAGCAGCACCTGAGTCACCTGTGACCTCGACAGGCTCAGCGACGGGAGGAGGGTCTACCTGAGAGACACCTGACCGACAGCAGCGACCTGAGGAGACGCAGTGGTCAGTGTGTAGAGACTCGACCCCGGCTGACGGGTAAACGTAGCCAGGTGACGGCCGGACCTGGAGCACGTGAGGATCGCCACACGCTGTCCTCCAGGGGTAAAGGTGTCAACCCACTGATCCTGGATGACAGCGTTGCTCACCAGGTTCGTCGAGAACGAGGGGAGGTGGAAACCCGACAACGAGCCAGACGGAACCGCTGGACACGGGAGCACAGTGGTGGACCGTGCAAGGACTGGGCCCCCAGAGGGGTCAGCCAAGGAGACTGGGACCGGTGCAGGAAGCGGTGTGAGCTCAGTACGGTCACGAAAGAAACAGCGGGAAGCACCTGAGTCAAGGGTGAAGGTGTGACAGGTCTCAGCCGGTGCAGTGCCCGAGAGAGCAGTCTCTGTGGGTGCTGTACCTGAGAGAGCAGACTCACAAGCAGCAGGGACAGTACCGGAGGGAGCAGCCGCAAAGGGCACCATACCAGAGAGAGCAGACTCACGAGTACCTAGGGCAGCGGGCTCTATACCTGGGTCAGGCGGCACACACAAGTAACAGTCTCCCTCGGCACTAACAGTCAATGCATACATAGCAGCAATAATAGCATCATAGTCAAGAGCAAAGATATCAACACCAGCCCTCATCAGCTCCGCCCAGCGGGGGCGCTCAACATCCTCGCCCATCTCCTCACGCCAAGCGTCGTCAAGGCGGGAGAAGCAGCGGTACGGGGTGTGGAACTTCCCACACGTCTGTCCCTTGCGGTCACCTGTGCGAATGACATAGGAACAGCGGACACTGCCCCCCGACGTCCCACGCTGAGCAAGCCACTCACGAAGCTGCTGGGTCGTCTGGGGACGCTGCTGCTGCTGGGAGCTCTGGCCCGAGCCAGTGCCTCCACTCCGACCTCCGCCGCCACCACTACCTCCGCTCCGACCGCCACCGCCGCCACCGCCACCGCCGCCACCGCCGCCACTGCTCCCTCCGCCGCCCCCGCCTCCGCTGCCGACCCCACTCCCACCAGCACTCCCGCCACCGCTCCCTCCAGCACCGCCTCCCCCCCCACCTCCCCCACCTCCTCCCCCCCCAGCGCCACCCCCGCCACCCTTGCCCCCCTTGCCCTTGCCGGTGCGGCGCCTCCCACCAGGAGCAGAAGCAGCGCCAGCAGACTCAGCACCAAGGAAGTCAACAGCAGCAGCAGTAGCGTAGGAGGGAGCGAGGGGAGAGGGAGAACACCCCTCAAAGATGGGGGTGCGAGGAGCGCCACGAGCAGCACCGACAGCTACAATGGTCTTCTCGGCCGCTAGCAGCTTCTCCTCTAGGAGGGCGACTGTGAGCTCAGTGGGACAGCGAGCAAGGAAGTGGTCTCGAACTGAGCTGAGGGTGTCAGGGAGACGGGTGACTATGAAGTGGAGTGTCCAGTACAGTGGAGGGGGGTGCTTAGCACAGAACTCGGTGGGAAGGGCGGCACGCAGGCGAGCATCACTAGTGCGAAGGTGGGTGATAAGATCGGCGACTGTAGCAAAGGTGGACAGGTCAGGGAACAGGTAAGGCAGCATGAGGCGGCTAAGCTCGGCTGTGGCAGGCGAGGAGTAGCGAGTAACAACAGCGTCGTACAGGGCCTTAGCGGATTTGCAGTCGCCAAAATGCTCGAGCTCAGCTAACGGCAGGTGACTGCGAATGGCTAGGCGAGCAGCTGCGTCACGAGTCTGCCAGTGGGAACGAACACTAAGCTCAGCTGTGGCGGGAGGGGCAGGCGCTGCACCAGACGCGTAGTCATAGAGCGACACATGCTCCTTGCTATCGCTCAGGAGGAACAGCTGCAGGTCATCTAGCCAAGTGGTGAACTGCACAGGGCGGCCCTCAGCATCGAACGACAGCACGCGGATGGAAGTCATGGCGACAGTGCGACTGAGCAAAGCAAGCTGCCGCAGCGCTGCAAGCAGGTAGCTCGGTGGGGAGCGCGGCGGGCGGGCGGCGCTCTGAGCGGGCAGCGTGGCCGGTAGCACGGCGGGCAGGCGGCGCTGTGAGCGGGCAGCGCGGCGGACGGGCGGCGAAGCTGGCAGCGCGGCGGGCAGGCGGCGCTGCAAGCGGGCAGCACGGCGGGCGGGCGGGCGACGCTGCGAGCGGGCAGCGCGGCGGGCGGGCTACGAAGCTGGCAGCGCGGTGGGCAGGCGGCGCTGCAAGCGGGCAGCGCGGCGGGCGGGCGACGCTGCGAGCGGGCAGCGCGGCGGGCGGGCGACGCTGCGAGCGGGCAGCGCGAGCGGATAGCGCGGCGGATGGGCGGCGCTACTGGCGGGCAGCGCGGCGGGCAGCGCAACGGGCAGCGCGACGAGCAGCGCGGCGGGCGAGGGCGCTAACGAGGGGCGCTAACGAGGGCGCTAACGAGGGCGCTAACGAGAGGCGCACGAGGGCGCTAACGAGAGGCGCACGAGGGCGCTAACGAGAGGCGCACGAGGGCGCTAACGAGAGGCGCACGAGGGCGCTAACGAGGGGCGCGCGATGACGCTAACGAGGGCGCGCGAGGGCGCTAACGAGGGCGCACGAGGGCGCTACGAGGCTAGGGCACGGGGTAGCGTGGTAACCGCATGCGAGCGGTGGTGGGCCCTAAAAAAAAAACGGTCGGTAGGTCCTAGGGACCTCCTGCTCTGATACCATATCAACAGGACTAGGCAAGAATGATGCATTGAATGAAACAGTTGGGTACAAGTAGCAAACCCTAGTTGGGGTTGTACCCCATATTGGCTACCCCACTACAGCCTACCAACATATAACACATTACAATTTAACAGTAATGGCACTCAAGACGACCAACTTGTAACACACCACACCGTATCATCCACGGCAGCACGTGCCAGCAGGAACGGGTGGCTGAGAATGTTGTTGGAGCGGATGTTGCAGATGAGGGTGTGGTGGCAAAAGGGGGAGGCGAGGCGAATGCTGCATGGCACCACATGCCTCTAGAGCAGCAGCACCGTGTGCCTTATATGTCGTTGCTGCACAAAATGGTGCAGATGCTTAAGGAAAGTGGGTGGATGTGGAATACAGGTGGGGAGGCAATGCGGATGGGCCCTTCCATGGCAACACATGGCTCCATAGGAAAAGCAGCAACCTGAGTCGAATGTATTCTCAGTCGTATGGCAGCTCGCCTCAACAGCCAGCTCTAGAGCAGCAGAAGCGTGTGGCATAGAATGCCACTGCGTTTGATGATGCCTGTGGGAGCGTGCCGGTGATCCGAAAATGAGGGTGGATGTGGTTTGGTAGCAGAGCAGCTGCACCATGTGCCTTAGAATGTATTCTGAGTCAACTCAAATCCACCTCTAGAGCAGCAGCAGCGTGTGCCGTAGAATGTCGCTGCATGTGATGATGCCTGTGAGAGTCCTGCGACCATCAGGGAGCCGCACGACCACGGGCAGGCGAGACACCTGCGGTGTGCCGCATGCAGAATGGCATGCGGGGAGGGGAAAGGAATAGTTAGGGCAGAGAGAAGGGAGCCGTAAAATTCGTTTTGAGTTAAGTCAAATCTTTCTCTAGAGCAGCAGCAGTGTGTGCCTTCGAATGTCGCTGCATGTGATGATGCCTGTGAGTGTCCTGCGACCATCAGGGAGCCGCACCACCACGGGCAGGCGAGACACCTGTGGTGTGTTCAGCAGCAAATGCAACAGAGCAGAAAGGACTTTAGAGTCGACTCATAAGGCATGTGATGATGCCTGTGAGAGTCCTGCGACCATCATGGAGCCGTACCACCACGGGCAGACGAGACACCTGTGGTGTGTTGCATGGAGCATGGAGCATGCAGGGAGGGGAAAGTGCAGAGAGCAAGCATGAGCACAGGTAAGATGCACACAGGAGAGACAAAGCATGCAGCATGGGATGAATGAACGCTGCCGACAACCATAAGAAAAGCTGACACCCGAAGAAACACATGACAGAACAGGAATAATTCACACGCCATACCATTGGCCTACTGTAAGAATGTCTATGTACTTAGAATTGTCGCTCACATACTGCATTTGCATTACATTATATATCTCGTGTACGCATGATACAATGTACATCAACGACATGAACTACATGACACAAACATTGCAGTTGAGCATGATCTCACATTGCAGTTGAGCATTAACTTAGTGGCGTCCACCATGAGCATCAACCATATTGGATACAAGCATGCTTTACTGTACATGAACAACATTAACTTCTCTATACGCACATTGCAGTTGAGCATGATCTCAGTGGCGTCCACCATGAATGAGTCCTCCTCCACCTGTAGCACAGTGTCTGTCATCGACTCCTCCACCTGTGAGCAGATGGTCGAGGGCATACATGGGGAAGGTTGGACGGGGGTGCAGGAGTTGAGAGAATGAGAGTTTAACAAAGCAAAGCATAGCCTCCTCCACCTGCAGCACTGTGTCATTGACTCCTCCTGCTCACATGGCGGAGGGAAGGAAGAGGAGGGGTGGGAGACGTTTTGAGAGCATGAGAGTCCGAAAAGCCACAGGCTGCTCCACCTGCAGCACCGTGTCTGACATTCACTCGTCCACCTGCTCGCACCAGGGCATAATTGCAAGGGGCATGAGATTCACATGAAGGGCACGAAGGAGTTCGGAAAGCCACAACGCATCAACTGAACTGGGGCATACGGGAGTCATAACGTGACTAAACGGCGCTACACGTGAACGATTTTAGGTGACAAGCTTTTGGGAGGGTACGCCATCACGATTTTGCAGTCCCTCACGGCCAGACCACTGAGGCGGTTCGAAGTTTGGGAGGGAGGGAAAAGCAACGACGTACGTTAGATCACGCTCGCGCAATCTGGACAACGCATCAATGTTGTCAGAAAGAGCAGCTAGCTTTGGAGCTAGGATCACGAGGGACGTGAAATGCTGCAACATTGTCACGGATTCTTGAACCTCCTCCAATTGAAGAGCTTCATGAATGTGAAGCTCCCGCAGTTGTTGCGACGATGAACCAAGATTCTCTAGAAGAGCCTTCACTCTTTCAGTTTTTTCAATAGTCAAGTCATGGAGGCGAGAAAGTGCTGTCAAGGTAAACGATAACTCATGCTCGTTAAGTTTAAAAAATACACGCTCGAGGGAAGTTGGCAGTGGTGATGGAGTGTGCAGCAACACCGAGCACAATCTCACCTCGAGATACTTGCAGCAACTTCGCTCGAGCGTGTATTTGTTGAAATTAACGAGCAGAAGTTACCGTTTTTCTTGACAGCACTTTCTCTCCTCCATGTCTTGACTACTGGTAAAAGGATAACGGCCCTTCCAGAGCATTTTGGCTCATCGTTACGACAGCTGTGAGAACTTCACATTCGGCTCTGCAATTGGAAAAGCTGCAAGAATCTGCAACAATGCTGCAGAATTTCATGTCCCTCGTGATCCAAGCTCCAAAGCTAGCTGCCCTTTCTGACAACATTGATGCGTTGTCCAGATTGCGCTAGCTGGATTTACGGTACGTCGTTGCTTTGCCCTCCCTCCCCTACTTTGAATCGCCTTAGTGCTCTTACCATGAGGGGGTGCAAGTTCGTAGTGGCGTACCCTCCCAATTGCTTGGACCCTAAAAGCGTTCACGCGTAGCGACGAGGAGTCAGCCATGTGACTCAACTCAGTTGGGGCGCACGGAAGTAAGGATAGGAGCCAAGATGGGAGTCAGGACAGGAGTCAGGACGGGAGTCAGGACTGGAGTCAGGACGGGAGTCAGGACGGGAGTCGGGACGAAAGTCGGGACGTGAGTTGGGACGAAGGACAGGACGGGAGTCAGGACGGGAGTCAGGACGGGGGGCATGATCTGGGGGACATGATCTGGGGAACAGGACGAGGGACAGGCGGGGGTTAGGACGGAGGTCAGGACAGAGGACGGTGGTCAGGACGAGAGTGAGGACGGGAGTCAGGACGGGAGTCAGGATGAGAGACAAAACGAGAGACAGGACGGACGGGGACAGACAGGGGTCAAGACAGGGGTCAGGATGTGAGTCAGGATGGGAGTCAAGATAAGAGACAAGACAAGAATCAGGACGAGAGCCACAATGGGAGTCAAGATGGAAGTGAGGATGGGAGTCAGGATGGGAGTCAGGTACTATGTGGAGAAAAACGGGTTCTGTGTTTTATACGCTAGCGTTTAATATGCATAACGCTTTTTGGGGGGTCCCCAAAACACTGAGAAAACGCAGGGTCGGGCAGGATAAAAAAACGTGCGGGCAGGCAAAAAAACATCACATTGGGCATGGGGAGGAAGGGGAGAACGATACAACTAAACAGAAACAAGAAATTTTCGAAGGAGAGTTGTAAGGTAGGGTTTACGAAGGAAAATTCACCCTAGGGATAGAGCTGTACTTTCAGATCCTACTCTATTTCTTTTCAGGGTTACAATCTTCAACACGTGACTATCCGTCACACTGCTGCTCTTCTTCATGACCAGTGACACAGCATGAGAGACAGGTGTTGCATGCACCCCAGCCCACACTCCCTCAGCCTGTGTGCCATTGACCTGCAGCGTCTCGGCCTTCCTCACGTGCTGCCCGAGCTAATCCACGTGCGCCCTTTGGTTGAGATGGCCCTGGTAGTTCTAAATCCCTCACCTTCCCCACCATCCACTCTCCCACCCACTCACCCTCCTCGCCGCTCCATCCCACACCACTGACCTGCAGTGAAACAGCCTTTCTCACGTGCTGCCAGAGCTAGTCCTCAAGCGGCTTCTCCGTTAGTCTGTCCACTGGGCCCATCCACTCACCTATCAACACCCATTCTCACCCACTTAACCCCCTCTCCTCATAACCCAATCCACTGACCCTCAACAAAGCAGTCTATCCCACGTGCTGCTGGAGCTAGTCCACACGCGGCTTGTGGTTCAGATGGTTCTGGTAATCCGTCCACCAGGCCCATCCACTTAACTACCACCACACACTCCCGCCCGTTCCCAAACCCCTCTCCGATGCAGCCCAATCCACTGACCCGCATCGAAGCGGCCTTCCTCAGGTGCTGCCAAAGCTTGTCCACCCGCGGGCCCTGGTTCAGATGGTCCTGGTAGTTGGCCAGGCGCTGCAGAAACTCCTCCTCTGCCTGCAGGGGGTGGGTGGTTGGAGGGATGGTGGTATGGGCGGAGGGCATGTGGGGGTTTGAAGATGGGAAGGAAGGAGTGGGAAGGTGTGTGATTTTTTGGTTGAGATGGTAGTTGGCCAGGCGCCGCAGAAACTCTCCTCCTCTGCCTGCGGAATGGGAGAGAATAGTGAGAAGTGTGAAACACTGGTTCACGTAGTCACGGTGGTTCGCCATGCAGCCCATCAACTCGGCTGCCTGCAAAGTTTCCCGCAACCTGGCAGCAAGACCTTTTTCTGCAGGTACCGCAGAAACTCCTCCTCTTCTTGAGTGTGAAACACTGGTTCACGTAGTCACGGTGGTTCGCCATGCAGCCCATCAACTCGGCTGCCTGCAAAGTTTCCCGCAACCTGGCAGCAAGACCTTTTTCTGCAGGTACCGCAGAAACTCCTCCTCTTCTTGAGTGTGAAACACTGGTTCACGTAGTCACGGTGGTTCGCCATGCAGCCCATCAACTCGGCTGCCTGCAAAGTTTCCCGCAACCTGGCAGCAAGACCTTTTTCTGCAGGTACCGCAGAAACTCCTCCTCTTCTTGAGTGTGAAACACTGGTTCACGTAGTCACGGTGGTTCGCCATGCAGCCCATCAACTCGGCTGCCTGCAAAGTTTCCCGCAACCTGGCAGCAAGACCTTTTTCTGCAGGTACCGCAGAAACTCCTCCTCTTCTTGAGTGTGAAACACTGGTTCACGTAGTCACGGTGGTTCGCCATGCAGCCCATCAACTCGGCTGCCTGCAAAGTTTCCCGCAACCTGGCAGCAAGACCTTTTTCTGCAGGTACCGCAGAAACTCCTCCTCTTCTTGAGTGTGAAACACTGGTTCACGTAGTCACGGTGGTTCGCCATGCAGCCCATCAACTCGGCTGCCTGCAAAGTTTCCCGCAACCTGGCAGCAAGACCTTTTTCTGCAGGTACCGCAGAAACTCCTCCTCTTCTTGAGTGTGAAACACTGGTTCACGTAGTCACGGTGGTTCGCCATGCAGCCCATCAACTCGGCTGCCTGCAAAGTTTCCCGCAACCTGGCAGCAAGACCTTTTTCTGCAGGTACCGCAGAAACTCCTCCTCTTCTTGAGTGTGAAACACTGGTTCACGTAGTCACGGTGGTTCGCCATGCAGCCCATCAACTCGGCTGCCTGCAAAGTTTCCCGCAACCTGGCAGCAAGACCTTTTTCTGCAGGTACCGCAGAAACTCCTCCTCTTCTTGAGTGTGAAACACTGGTTCACGTAGTCACGGTGGTTCGCCATGCAGCCCATCAACTCGGCTGCCTGCAAAGTTTCCCGCAACCTGGCAGCAAGACCTTTTTCTGCAGGTACCGCAGAAACTCCTCCTCTTCTTGAGTGTGAAACACTGGTTCACGTAGTCACGGTGGTTCGCCATGCAGCCCATCAACTCGGCTGCCTGCAAAGTTTCCCGCAACCTGGCAGCAAGACCTTTTTCTGCAGGTACCGCAGAAACTCCTCCTCTTCTTGAGTGTGAAACACTGGTTCACGTAGTCACGGTGGTTCGCCATGCAGCCCATCAACTCGGCTGCCTGCAAAGTTTCCCGCAACCTGGCAGCAAGACCTTTTTCTGCAGGTACCGCAGAAACTCCTCCTCTTCTTGAGTGTGAAACACTGGTTCACGTAGTCACGGTGGTTCGCCATGCAGCCCATCAACTCGGCTGCCTGCAAAGTTTCCCGCAACCTGGCAGCAAGACCTTTTTCTGCAGGTACCGCAGAAACTCCTCCTCTTCTTGAGTGTGAAACACTGGTTCACGTAGTCACGGTGGTTCGCCATGCAGCCCATCAACTCGGCTGCCTGCAAAGTTTCCCGCAACCTGGCAGCAAGACCTTTTTCTGCAGGTACCGCAGAAACTCCTCCTCTTCTTGAGTGTGAAACACTGGTTCACGTAGTCACGGTGGTTCGCCATGCAGCCCATCAACTCGGCTGCCTGCAAAGTTTCCCGCAACCTGGCAGCAAGACCTTTTTCTGCAGGTACCGCAGAAACTCCTCCTCTTCTTGAGTGTGAAACACTGGTTCACGTAGTCACGGTGGTTCGCCATGCAGCCCATCAACTCGGCTGCCTGCAAAGTTTCCCGCAACCTGGCAGCAAGACCTTTTTCTGCAGGTACCGCAGAAACTCCTCCTCTTCTTGAGTGTGAAACACTGGTTCACGTAGTCACGGTGGTTCGCCATGCAGCCCATCAACTCGGCTGCCTGCAAAGTTTCCCGCAACCTGGCAGCAAGACCTTTTTCTGCAGGTACCGCAGAAACTCCTCCTCTTCTTGAGTGTGAAACACTGGTTCACGTAGTCACGGTGGTTCGCCATGCAGCCCATCAACTCGGCTGCCTGCAAAGTTTCCCGCAACCTGGCAGCAAGACCTTTTTCTGCAGGTACCGCAGAAACTCCTCCTCTTCTTGAGTGTGAAACACTGGTTCACGTAGTCACGGTGGTTCGCCATGCAGCCCATCAACTCGGCTGCCTGCAAAGTTTCCCGCAACCTGGCAGCAAGACCTTTTTCTGCAGGTACCGCAGAAACTCCTCCTCTTCTTGAGTGTGAAACACTGGTTCACGTAGTCACGGTGGTTCGCCATGCAGCCCATCAACTCGGCTGCCTGCAAAGTTTCCCGCAACCTGGCAGCAAGACCTTTTTCTGCAGGTACCGCAGAAACTCCTCCTCTTCTTGAGTGTGAAACACTGGTTCACGTAGTCACGGTGGTTCGCCATGCAGCCCATCAACTCGGCTGCCTGCAAAGTTTCCCGCAACCTGGCAGCAAGACCTTTTTCTGCAGGTACCGCAGAAACTCCTCCTCTTCTTGAGTGTGAAACACTGGTTCACGTAGTCACGGTGGTTCGCCATGCAGCCCATCAACTCGGCTGCCTGCAAAGTTTCCCGCAACCTGGCAGCAAGACCTTTTTCTGCAGGTACCGCAGAAACTCCTCCTCTTCTTGAGTGTGAAACACTGGTTCACGTAGTCACGGTGGTTCGCCATGCAGCCCATCAACTCGGCTGCCTGCAAAGTTTCCCGCAACCTGGCAGCAAGACCTTTTTCTGCAGGTACCGCAGAAACTCCTCCTCTTCTTGAGTGTGAAACACTGGTTCACGTAGTCACGGTGGTTCGCCATGCAGCCCATCAACTCGGCTGCCTGCAAAGTTTCCCGCAACCTGGCAGCAAGACCTTTTTCTGCAGGTACCGCAGAAACTCCTCCTCTTCTTGAGTGTGAAACACTGGTTCACGTAGTCACGGTGGTTCGCCATGCAGCCCATCAACTCGGCTGCCTGCAAAGTTTCCCGCAACCTGGCAGCAAGACCTTTTTCTGCAGGTACCGCAGAAACTCCTCCTCTTCTTGAGTGTGAAACACTGGTTCACGTAGTCACGGTGGTTCGCCATGCAGCCCATCAACTCGGCTGCCTGCAAAGTTTCCCGCAACCTGGCAGCAAGACCTTTTTCTGCAGGTACCGCAGAAACTCCTCCTCTTCTTGAGTGTGAAACACTGGTTCACGTAGTCACGGTGGTTCGCCATGCAGCCCATCAACTCGGCTGCCTGCAAAGTTTCCCGCAACCTGGCAGCAAGACCTTTTTCTGCAGGTACCGCAGAAACTCCTCCTCTTCTTGAGTGTGAAACACTGGTTCACGTAGTCACGGTGGTTCGCCATGCAGCCCATCAACTCGGCTGCCTGCAAAGTTTCCCGCAACCTGGCAGCAAGACCTTTTTCTGCAGGTACCGCAGAAACTCCTCCTCTTCTTGAGTGTGAAACACTGGTTCACGTAGTCACGGTGGTTCGCCATGCAGCCCATCAACTCGGCTGCCTGCAAAGTTTCCCGCAACCTGGCAGCAAGACCTTTTTCTGCAGGTACCGCAGAAACTCCTCCTCTTCTTGAGTGTGAAACACTGGTTCACGTAGTCACGGTGGTTCGCCATGCAGCCCATCAACTCGGCTGCCTGCAAAGTTTCCCGCAACCTGGCAGCAAGACCTTTTTCTGCAGGTACCGCAGAAACTCCTCCTCTTCTTGAGTGTGAAACACTGGTTCACGTAGTCACGGTGGTTCGCCATGCAGCCCATCAACTCGGCTGCCTGCAAAGTTTCCCGCAACCTGGCAGCAAGACCTTTTTCTGCAGGTACCGCAGAAACTCCTCCTCTTCTTGAGTGTGAAACACTGGTTCACGTAGTCACGGTGGTTCGCCATGCAGCCCATCAACTCGGCTGCCTGCAAAGTTTCCCGCAACCTGGCAGCAAGACCTTTTTCTGCAGGTACCGCAGAAACTCCTCCTCTTCTTGAGTGTGAAACACTGGTTCACGTAGTCACGGTGGTTCGCCATGCAGCCCATCAACTCGGCTGCCTGCAAAGTTTCCCGCAACCTGGCAGCAAGACCTTTTTCTGCAGGTACCGCAGAAACTCCTCCTCTTCTTGAGTGTGAAACACTGGTTCACGTAGTCACGGTGGTTCGCCATGCAGCCCATCAACTCGGCTGCCTGCAAAGTTTCCCGCAACCTGGCAGCAAGACCTTTTTCTGCAGGTACCGCAGAAACTCCTCCTCTTCTTGAGTGTGAAACACTGGTTCACGTAGTCACGGTGGTTCGCCATGCAGCCCATCAACTCGGCTGCCTGCAAAGTTTCCCGCAACCTGGCAGCAAGACCTTTTTCTGCAGGTACCGCAGAAACTCCTCCTCTTCTTGAGTGTGAAACACTGGTTCACGTAGTCACGGTGGTTCGCCATGCAGCCCATCAACTCGGCTGCCTGCAAAGTTTCCCGCAACCTGGCAGCAAGACCTTTTTCTGCAGGTACCGCAGAAACTCCTCCTCTTCTTGAGTGTGAAACACTGGTTCACGTAGTCACGGTGGTTCGCCATGCAGCCCATCAACTCGGCTGCCTGCAAAGTTTCCCGCAACCTGGCAGCAAGACCTTTTTCTGCAGGTACCGCAGAAACTCCTCCTCTTCTTGAGTGTGAAACACTGGTTCACGTAGTCACGGTGGTTCGCCATGCAGCCCATCAACTCGGCTGCCTGCAAAGTTTCCCGCAACCTGGCAGCAAGACCTTTTTCTGCAGGTACCGCAGAAACTCCTCCTCTTCTTGAGTGTGAAACACTGGTTCACGTAGTCACGGTGGTTCGCCATGCAGCCCATCAACTCGGCTGCCTGCAAAGTTTCCCGCAACCTGGCAGCAAGACCTTTTTCTGCAGGTACCGCAGAAACTCCTCCTCTT